AGAAGGCCCATACTGGAAGAGAGCACATGTTGAGCCTCGAACAGCGTTTTTACACACCAGAGCAGACACACGACGGGCCAGACATCAACCAGACTCTTACCTTGGAGACAGACCAAGGTACAACCAGTCGGAGAAAGGCTAGAAAAGACATCAGACAAGCGTTGGACAGGCTGGACAAACTTCGAAGAACATCAGGAGTTTCCAACGCAACTTGGGTCAGATGATGAGGAACAACAACAGGGTACAAAAGCAAAAGCTGTACAAGCACCCAAGCAACCAACATTACAGGAGATACTCGAGCGCAACGTGACACATCTCTCTTACGGGAGTTGGTGTCCAATAAGCGTACAAGCAAGAAGCAAGCAAAACAATCACCCAAAGCAACACAGCAAGCTTCACAGCAACGTACATCCAATTCTCACAGCAATTGACATCGAGTAAGTTTCAAAACTAGAAAAACTATAGTTCTCTTTCTCTTTCTTTTCTTGACTCTTTTTCTCTTCTTCTTCCTTTTCATTGTTTCCTTTTTCTCCGTCATTCTTCCTTTCTTCCTTTCTTTCCTTCCTTGCTCCCTTCTTTCCTTCTTTCTATCTGTCTATTCTTTCTTTCTTTCGTTTGCTTGTTTTTGTGCTGTTCTTTCTTTTGTTTCTTCTCTGCCTATCTATCTGTCTATGAATCTATCTATCTTTCTTTCTCTCTCTCTATCTGTCTATCTCTCTATCTCTCTACCTGTCTATCTATCTGTCTATTTCTCTATCTCTCATGTATTTATCAATCTCTGTATCTCTCTACCTACCTTTCTTTCTATCTCTCTATCTATCCATCTCTCTATCTGTCCCTCTCTCTCTACCTACCTATCTATGTACCTCTCTATCTATCTATCTATCTATCTATCTATCTCTTTGTCTCTATCTATCTATCTGTCTCTTTATTTCTGTCTCTATCTATCTATCTATCTATCTATCTCTCTATCTATCTATCTATCTATCTATCTCTCTCTCTATCTCTCTTTCTATCTATCTCGCTAGCTACCTCTCCATCTGTCTATCTATCCATCTATATCTGCACTTGCAAGTTGCGATTTTCAAGCCCCGAAAGTTGACTTCGCGTTCTACTTTTGTACTTAAAAGTTGCGATTGGGCTTCACGTTCTACTTTCGTACTTAAAAGTCGTGGTTTTCCAGCAGCTGCGGAAGTCGGCTTCACGTACTACTTCCGTACTAAAAAAAAACTGCGATTTTGAAGACCCAGCTGCGACACCTCTTCATACAGCAACTTGTCAAGAGCAAAGTCATCGCAATGCGCAACGTATGATCCGAAAAAACCCAGCTGACATACTGAGTAAATTTGTCAGCTGTGACACCCTCGACAAGCACTTGTACACAGTTGGCCTGTGAGGTCAACAACCAGTTTCACACAGTTTGCGCAGCATGTTAAACATCAGTTGCACAGGTTACCCTTCTCTTACAACCAACGTCAAAGCGCTACAACTCAGCTTCACCTGGGAAATCCGGAGCCATGGTACATCTTTTCTGGGAGTGCTACAACCCCTCTTACAATCGTTTTCTGCATGACACATGTCGGACATTGATTTGTCACATTCCGCAGCCTTTTACCTTTTACACCAGCGAGACACGTTCTTTCTGACACATCGGACCATGGACACGCAGGCCTTGACCGCTCTTGTTACATCTGATGAGCGCAGCGGAAAGCGTTACGACACGCAGTTGTTTAAATACAACATCAGGCGTGTCAACGGCAAGGAGGCGCACGACATCATGGAATGGCGCATCAAGAAAACTGCAGACACAAACAACGTTTTGCACATCGCCTTGACCGCAGAGGAATACATCAGCTTGAAGGGCGACTACACTGGGCCACAGGCCAACATGAGGAAGCCATTTTGGGAGTACATGATCTACAACACCTGCCCGTTTGACTCCCTTACAATTGCTTTACCTTTTCAGTGAGCGCAAGATCGCATCCGCACAGCTGGACAAGCTCTACATCATCGGCTTTCAGCCGAACACCAGGCGCATGATTGACAGGTTGAGCAAGAGCCAAATGAGTACATTCAACAGAGGATACCAGATCCTCCACCTCCAGCGCTACTACGAGAAGTGGCAGTTCGATGAGTTCGAACAGCAGTCGGTACACATTCGGGAAATCAGCCATAAAAAATTGGAAATCTTCAACAGATTCTCATGGACCAACGGTTTCGCATGGGACTACAACGCCCTCACCTATCTGCCGCAACCGACAGGTTGCAGCAGACGATGACACAATCCACGCTGCAATGACACAGGTGATGGAGTACGCGGGACAGATCCTCAAGCGCATCAGCGCAGAGCATCGCGACGCGGTACTACACCATCTGAGGCGATACATTTTCCGCACTTGAGTGGCACAGTCGAATAGCTTGATACAACATCTGCTTGAAACAGTAGCTGTTTGACACTCGCTTTTGACACCACGAACCACGAGGGACTTGTGCAGCAGCTACATCATGCTTTTCAACAGCTCAGGAGAATGTGCATGAGATGCATTATCCTGAGGAGGCGTGTTAAGACACATGCGTCCCAATACATCTGGAATGCTGCTTTGTACAATCAAGGCCTTGAGCCTGAACACAGGAGTAGTTGATACATCATCGCCCTGCAAAAAAAGATTACAGCGCTTCGCTTCACTCACAGGATTACACTTCAGGCATCTAGGTTACAACAGTTGCTCCAAGTTTAGCAAGAATATGTACTGTTGGCAGTGAGTGCAGAATGTGGCAGGAGCTGGTGCATATGGAGACATGGGCTATGGCTGCCAGGGCCACTTCGCAGAGTTGTGAAACCGATTTCGACCCGCATCTAAGCATTGAGAATGCAAATGAGCCACGCTGCCAAGAATTCTATTGGCGAGGTGATATGGCGCCCACACAGCAGCTGTCAGCACAGCAGGTCTACAGCCGCGAGGCAATCGTGTTTGCCATCAGATACTATCAGTTTCACTCGTATGACTTCCCATGACAGCAGGCCTGTCCTACACATACATCTAATCTTTTTCTAGGATATGTTTAGATTCGGCTAGCCAAGCACTTAGATGAGAGTCTTTCAAGAATGTCGCGTTCCCTTTGTCAGGTGCCTGGTTCCTTCGCCTCCCCTGCTTACGGACCAGGCCCTGTCTTGTTCCAAGATTCTTTGTGTCTTTTGCCAGTCTCCTGGGTCCTAGGTGGATGTGGCGTTGCTGGGTCTGCGTATCCGGGCCTGCCGGGCAGCCGGGTGCTGAGTACTCTCAGGTTTGAAGGTCTCGTTTGGTTGCATGGCTTTTGACACACTCTAAGCGCACCAGTGCACCACCAGAGTTCGTGGGAAATGCGATTGGCGAGTCGAGGGTTAGCTTAATCTTTACGACGGGCGTGTTTTGCGCAGGCTGTGGAGGGCAGATGCCTATGGGTCCGCGGCCAAGCGTAAGATCAGCCAGCATAGATTCGAACGACCGTGACCATGCTCAAATCCGTGTATCCAACGCGGGGCGCGCCGCCAACTTGGTTTCTTTATGCAGCAGATTAAATTGGGCGCAAACGTCAAGATGGAGGTCTCTCAGGACGAGGCATGCTGAATTGAACAAATTGAGTGGCGTGGCTACGTTTGGATGAAATGAGCATGCATTCAGCAAAGAGTCGACAACATTGTTTTTCTCGTGCCTTTTGCAACCTGCTTTGCTGGCAGTTGCCGAGGATGCAATGTGTTTTTGTTTGGATTTCAATCAGCGGCCTCACTTGCCTGCCGAGGGTCCTCATGGAGGGAATAGCTTGTTGGATTGGACTTGTTTGTGATTTGGGGGTATACATTGGCTTGCGTGCTGGCTGTGTAGCGTATGACGTTTGAATTGATTGATGCTTGCGGTCTAGGAAAACCCGACATATCTTGCGTCCTTCCGCCGCAAACCTACCTTGTAACCTCGTTTCATTCAGTATTTGTAGTTCGCAAGTCTGCGTAGATTGGGACAGCAGACAGATCGGTCTATCAGCTTTTAATTGACGCTCAGGGATGACGTGCAATGTTACGTGGGACAGGATCTGGAACAACATGCGGTCCCCAGCTGCAACCAAGTACCTCAGCTATTTGAAGCAACAAGCTGACCCCGTACTACCCAAGTTGCACGTCGCCCGTGTCACTAGTAGCTTGACTCAGGCCGAAAGCCTGCAAGATCACGGCGCAGTATCTGCTGCTGAAGGCGGAGGCAGGATCAGTGGAGCTGCCACCGAAGACCATCCCGTCAAAGAATGTGTCGACAACTTTATGCTTTGGCTGCTTTGGGTTCTTGACAAGTTCACGATGTCACATCAGTCGTTTCTCCGATTTGAATGATGTCAATTGCCGCCAGGTCGCTTGGTCCCTGGTGCTGCAGCTTTTTGCGTAGCAACTGACATTTGTCAATGGTTTTCGCCCGCACAAGTGAGCCGGTGTGACATCGGCACGATGACTCACAAGAGGCTCGCACTCCTGTCCAGTGTCAATTGTATGGCACATTGTGTCTTTGCCAGCTTGCAGCGAGCACGCTTCACTAAACTGTATTGTAGATGGAGTCGACTATTGTTTTACCTGGTTTGCCGGAGTGTAAAACCACGTGCGGCAGTAGCAGCGGCCATTGTTTGCACCTGAAATACTGCATTACACCTCTCAGGTAGGGACAAGAGCAGGGGCACTTGAGCCAGAGTCTTTGCATCTAAGCTTCAGGGGGTCGTGGGTTTTCAAGCGAGGCTGTCACGTAGAATGTGCCAATGTGTTTGGATTCCATGATGTCATGCTGCGCACTTGTTTATTTATATCTGCAATGGCTTGAATGGAGCTCAACCGCAGCAATTTGTTTGTGGATCATGTATGCATGATGCCTTGCATCCATGTTGTTCCCAAACTTCCAAAGCAATGGACTCGCTTCCAGACTTATAGCCGCCGAATAAGGTCCTGATGCGACAGGTTAACCAGGTTGCAACGTTCTACAAGAAGGCATTTGCCCAGGGTGACACTTCCATGTTTGCATCGAGCCATGCAAGTGTACTACGGATGCTACTTGCTCCAATCCCTGACCAATGTTCGGAGGAACGTGAAAGTGTTTGCGGACATGCGCCATGCATGTCCATGCACTGATATCGGGGCGCGAATCTGCGAATAGGACATTGAATAGGACCTACATTGGCTTCACCATGGACCCGCGGCGCCGACTCCGGCAGCACAACGGAGAGATCACTGCCGGTGCCCACAAGCCGCGTGCCACGGATTTGTCGGACATTTGATATGCCCACAAGCCGCCAATTCGACATTTGCCACATGGATTTTCCGTCGGATTGAACAAGCCATGGTCGCCAGTTGGTGTGTGTGTGTGTGTTGAAGTCGTTGATCCAAGAACCAAGCGATGGCGACCTTGGCAAATGATCCTTTGCGCGGCTCGGCTTCGGAGTTTGCCAAGCTTGAGACGAACCGGGCACGGTTCAAAAACAGAATCATGCACATGCTTGAGCTGACTTCGCTGCAGAGAGCAGGTGTGGGGATTTCCAACGAAAGTGCTGGCGCTGCAGTTTGAGTTTGCCTGGCGCTCTTCTCAGATGGGCACCCCATGTCACCGGAAAACAAGCAAGTGCTCTCTGGCCTAGGCAGCATCCGAACATTTGCCGGCATGTCCGAGATAGAGTCTCGCACCTGGGGTCCCGAGCTTAGAGGCTGTCAACCGGCGTAAGAGGCGAAGCTGACCTGATATGCTGCCAGGTTCTGCAAGCTGACCCGGAATGGGAAACAGTGCCCTGTGCCGGGCACCCAAGGCTTGCGATGCGGTACTCATGACAGAAAGACATGTGGTTCCTCAATCACAGTATGCACATCATGCTTATTCCATTGAACAAACACACACATACCCCTGTGACTGCCTGAGGTTGGGTGTCATGCAGAACATACAGGTGCTTGTGGAGATGTTGAAAACTGCTCCTTACAGACGCAGCCTCGGGAGCGGCGTCGACGCTTTGGAAGAGTACCCGCGCGGCCCAGGTAAATTGCCTTTGCGTGTTCATTTCATAGACGAAGGTGCAGAGAGAGTGAGAGAGAGAGAGTGGAACAGCCAAGACTCAAGACAGCGCTGCCACTCCAAATGACTCTTTCACTTTCAGCTCATGTTCAGTGTCCTAAGGGTCCTAAGGGTCCTAAGACGAGGCTTGGGCTTGCGCCAGGCGCCTGGGCTGAGCTTCCAAAGCTGCCAGCAGCAGCTGGGCTCCCGACCCACATGAGCTTCACCCACGGCAGCTTCGACCACTTGGAGCGTCTCTGCGCTGAGAGCATGATGGTCAGAACCCCAGACGCATAGGACACATGACACAATGCTCTGATCCACAGAGATGTGCCGTGAGACTTCATTGGCCTATATTGGCCTTGCGCTTATGACATCTTGGTCCAAGATGAGCGAATGAGGCTATGCCCGTGACAGGCTCCGAGTGTGCAAAATGCTCGGGGCTTCTTCAGCCCGGAGAGCGACTGGTCAGCTGCCCGCACTGCGAATGCCCTCTGCATTTGAGCTGTGCGGCGCAGATCTTCACCAAGGAGACATCGCAGCGGCTCGGCTCGTCACAAGTGAAAGTATTTTCGCAAAAGCAGCCGATGCAGCTGCACGGCGTGCAGCTGCATCGCAGCTGCACCAATAGCATGTTTAAGGCTTTGGCACGTGTGCGAGAGGCGTTGTTTGTGAATAGCATGACTTGACAAGGGGCAGCCCTGGCAAGTTGTGCGCATCAAACATCCCAAGTCAGGATTAAACCGTGCCTCAGCATCACGCAAAAGTTAGCTTAGATCGAAGGAGAAGGCGTTTGATAAGTTCTGGATCCTGTGCTGCGCAGTCTGGAGGAAAGGGCCGCAAGTAAGTAAGTAGGTAGGGAAGACAGTATGACAGTAAGTACGTAAGTAAGAAAGTAAGCAAGTAAGTATCCGGTGCGGAGCTGGAGAAGGGGGCAGCTAGTAAATCTGTAAAGTAGTTGACGGCGCTGCCAGGCACCTGGCAGTTGTTTTGTGTTTACCGTGGTTGTCAGCAAAGCAGGGGGATCGGGGTTGGGGGGGGTGTGGTTGTTTCCCAATCCAGTTGATCTCCCGCAACCATTTGGCTCAAGGTCCCTTTTGTGCATATCATTGTATTATCAATGATCGCGTGAAGCAAAAGAACCTTTGCAGGCCGCTGCAGGATTACCCACAAGACAATCCACCAGGGACAATCCATCCTCCAATCATCCACATTGGCATATTGGACTCTCTCCGGAATAGATCCAGGGACCAACAACGACCTCTACTACCACAGGGTACCAGTTCCCTTCTGGGATAGGCGCCTGGGGCAGTGGGCCTCAACTTGTGGTAGCGGAGCGGGTTTTGCGCAGAGATCCAAGGGAAGATGTCATCCGATGGAGAAGGCCTCCTGGAAGCCTATTCAATGGCCAAAAATCCAGGCTGTACGGAGGAAACACTAAATTTATCGATGACCGCCAAGCAGCCGCCATCGTACGACGGAAAAGTCAGCTGGTTCAGGTATGAAGAACTCGTGGACGACTGGGTGACCATCACAACGGTGGAAGCACCAAAGAGAGGACCTCTCCTCAAGAGTAGACTCACAGGAGACGCATATATGTACAAGGCAGTCCTCCAGAATGACCTTTTGCAAGATCCTGAGGAAGGAGTCAACTATTTCAAGAACACGCTGAAGAAGTACTTTTTGAAAGGTGCGACCAACGTGTATCTGTACAGACTCCTCAGTTTCTTCAACCATAGAAGGCAGAACCAAGAGTTCCTCATTTTTACCTCAAAATTCGAAATCCTTCTTATGAGACTGAAGGCAGCATGGATGGACTTGATGCCCGTTTTCACGGCACAGTCCCCATCATTTCGACAGTCCGTACAGGACGCAAATGCAAGAACAATTGCTCGACATCAGCAAGCAGCCGGTGTTCGAGCACCGCCTCCAGCCCTGCTCAATGAGGACGATCCTACAGTCCTCAGACAGTATATCACAGGAATGCAGGACAGACAGCGGGACGCATTTCCCTTTGGGGATAATCTCATTGCACAGTTTTTCATCATACAAAGTGAGCTGTCAGATCAGCAAAGAGAAAGACTCACAAGTGCACTGTCATTAAGAAACATCTCACTCGAAAATTACTCCTATGAGATGCTGAAGACGCACTACCATGAACTCTTCATCACGACGAGGACATCGATCCAAGATCCCCATCCGACCTCAAGGAGGCAACAGAAGCAACACATTCTTCATCATCGAACAAGGTGAATACGAAGGAGAAGAAGGCTTGGGTTGAGGATGAAGAAGGACTTGAAGGATTCATGTCAAACAACGATGAAGAGACGTTCTGGGTCCTCGAGGAGAATGATGCGTTCATAGCAAGAAAAGTGTCGGGGCGGAACTTCAAGTTCAAGAAGAGAAAAGGAAAAGGAAAATCAGGAAACAAAAAGGGCAGTGACCAACGAGGAGGCTTCAAACCCTTCAGAAAAAGCGGTTCTGGCGGAAAGGCCAATATGGCCAACGAAAACTATGATCCCTACGACCAGGCATATTGGGGAAAAGGCAAAGGAAAGAAGGGAAAGAAAGGAAAATCAAAATTCCAATATCCCTATGATGGAAACAAAGGTTATCCATCCTATGAGAGTGGCAAAGGAAAGAGCGGACAGGAGAAAGGAAAATCCAAGACGTTCGCAGCCACCGCAGAGAAGACGGAGGAGCAGCCCGCCATCCAGCAGACTGCACCATCCATAGAGCCTACCTATGCCGGTTGGACAGACCAAGACTGGGATCAATCATGGACATGGAACGAACATGGCTGGTACTCATCCCATGAGACATCCAGCACAGGACAAGCGTTAATGGCATTCCATGATGCATATGAGCATCCTGGGAAAAAGGCCATCCACGAGAAGCTGATCCAATCAGATACAGTTTCAGAACACAATCTGTCCGTCACAACAAATCACAGCCTTCTGGCAACAAAGCTGATGGCGCCTGTCATCAACCCTCAGCACAACCCGACCTATGCGATTCTGGACAATGGATGTACCAGATCTATGGGCAGCATGCAATCCAGCGTTTTACTCAGGCCATCGAACCAATGAAGGGCATCATCTCCTATGAGTACATCCCGGCCGAGACCAAGTTCACTTTTGCAAACGGAGAGACCGCCAGGGTAAACTGGACCCTGCATCTTCGATATCACACAACTCCTCCACGCAGTACCAACATCGACGTCCTTGAGCAAGGAAAGGAACTGTACCGATCCTTCTCAGCATCAGCCAGATGCGGAACCTCTACATGACCATCGAGCACACACCTCAATGTGACAAGATCACATGCAAAGCCTTTGGCATGAACCGTCAAGCAGTTCCAGTATCGGGTACAGGACATGCACTCATCGATCTTGCTGGAGTTGCAAGAGTGAAGGCGCATGGAGAAATTGCTCACAAGGGCCTCATCAACTATGTCTATGACGATGATAACAGCATCAAGTTTCCCTCCGGAGACCTCACCAAGAGCGAAACTGTGTGTGCGGCAAAATCATCCGAGACAAAGCGAGACAAAGGAGGACCTAGCAACTCCTAAGATCATTGGGTCTCAAAAGCAGGACCATTGGATCCTTGACAAGAAGAACAAGCAGCGCATCCGTGTGCGCATCACGCCCCGGAAGGCGCTGTTCACACCAAATGGAACCAAGGAATGTCCAATCAATCCTGACAACATTAGCCGAGAACGTACTACGGAAATCATTGATGCATCCGCAGGCGGAGATCCAGACATCCTAGAAGACAATTGGAGACTTACATCCCAGGCAAATAAACCGATGATTAACCTGTGGATGGGTAAGACCATTTTCACCTTCGCGGACAATTCGCTTAAGGACGAAGAAGCAGGTTCAGGATCGGCAGCAGACAGGATCATCGACAAGAGGGGCCGGTCGACTATTGAGCTAGATCCTTTCGCACCATCCTCAGAAGAACCCACATCGCTCCCGCTTGCCCTAGGCAGAATCCACAAGCGATTGTCAAATCCCGAAGAGTTGAAGAAACTCCACCTGCAGCATCATCACATGACAACAGAACAATTTCGATTTAGAACCCGAGCACTTCATTTGCCGAAATCAACATTCGATCTATTTGACAAGATCCGAAGTGAGTGTGAAGTTTGCCAAGCGGCAAACATGCACCATCACGAAGCGAGACAAGCGGACTTCGAGCGGACACCTTTGGTGACATGACATTCATTGATCACTGTCAAGTTCCTCTTGGAACTGGAGAACACATCATTGTTTTTGTCATCCTGGATGGAGCAACAACATTGCTCACTGCAGAGGCAGTGACAACTACGCAAGAAGTCGAGAACATGACTGTCCTCCGGAACTATTTTGACCAGTACCACTTGCAGCCCAAATCAGTTGTCGCAGATCAAGCCTTCATGACAGACACATGGGAACATTTCTATCAGTCCCTTGACATCACTCCGATATCTTTGGGACCGAATACACCATGGCCAAATCGAGCTGAAGCAGCAGTTCGACTCCTGAAGGCACAACTCAAGATCATGCTGAGTTCCATCAAGGCAGGTACGGCTCCTGCGACACTGAAGAAAGTGACCTACAGGCAGCTAGTGAAGGCCGCTGCAACTGTCAGGAATCAGACCGTCACCTACGGGGGAGTAACGCCATTGGAGCTCGCATTCGGAAGACGACCAGCAGATCTCATCCAACTCGATGTCGCAACACCAACTCAGTTGACGATTGACAGGAATGAAGAAGAGATGACAGCCATCCAGATCAAGCAGCTGTCAAAGCAAGCTTTCCAAGAAGCACGTCAATCCGAGGACATCCGACGAGACCTTGCTCAAAATCTCCGAATGAGTTCAAAGCCTCTTCAGGTGAAGGACAAGGTATTTTACTGGCAGGAAGACAAATCCAAGATTCGTTCCTATGGAAGCAAGGGAGGAATATGGCTAAAGGGAAAAGTCATTTCCATTGAAGGAGCGATGGTAGGACTTGATCTTGGGACTCGACTCATCAAGGTTAACATGACGAAGCTCAGGAAGGATGAGACCATCCCTCCGGGGAAACCCGGAATTGACCTTCTTACTGAAGAGCGAGAATCCTTGCAGAAGGAGCAACCAGGCTCCTCTGCAGCTTCCAAGAAAAAGGAATCATCCGCACCAGCTCCTAAGCCAAGATCCTCAGTGCCATTACGTATCGCGGGAAAAGCAACTCCAAAACCTGCAGTACCTCATCCAGCAGAGAACATGTTCGTCGAGGACCTCACATCTATTCCTGAACAAGCACATTGGAATTGTGTACGTAAGGGAAAGATCCACGTTCTTGAGATCTTTGCAGGAAGTGCCAGATTTAGTCAATGCTGTGCGCTATCAGGTCTTAAGGTTGGGACTCCCGTAGACATCCGCACAGGATTCGATGTAAGGACATCCAAGGGACGACACATGGTCATGGAGATCATCAGGCAACAAGCACCTGATGTCATCCTTATGGCACCGGTCCGTGGACCATGGTCAAATATGCAGGGGAAAAGCGGA